AGGAAGCGTCAGGAAGATGGAGTTTCTCCGGGTGGAGAGGGAAGGGGCAGTGGGTGACTGCAGCAGGGAGAAAGGGCGGCCACAGGGAGCAAGCGGGATCTGACTCACAGTGACCGGACTGACGGACTGACGGACAGACTGACGAAGTGGGACATTTTAACAAACGGACCGTTCTTTAAAACGAGTTGAAGATTTCATTTTCTTAGCATTTCAGCTGAGGGCAGGTTGACTCTTCTGGTTGCTCAGGCCACAAACTCCGGAGTCATCTGTGTTTCCCCACCTTTGGCTAAGACAACTCGTCTCTGTTGGGCATCTCGTCGACCTCACCTTTGGAACTGTCTGGAATCTACCTCTCAGCCCCTCTGCTGCTAGTGGCGGGACCAAGCTGCTATGACTCCTACCCTCGGTTACCACGCTCGCCTCCGCCCTGTCTCCCGGTTCTGCATCCCCATACCTGAGGCTTCCACACCATCAGGGCAGCCAGAGGCATCTTGAAGGAATCCATGTCGGATGCTGTCACTCTGTTAAAACCCTCTGTGATGCCAGCTATGCTGCAGAACAAAACTCAGAGTACCAACCCCGGCCACAAGGCACTAGCACGCACCCACCCATCCCTGCGGTCTCCCCCTGTGCCCTACCCCTCTGCTATTCCAGCTGCACTGATCTCTCCAGGCACCCTCCCACCTCACAGGTGCCACCTTCTTCCTTGGGCCTGCAGTGTTCTTCCCCCAGGTAGCTTCGAGCTAAGCTCCTGCCGGTCCCCAGCTTTTGTTTTTTGAGACAGAGTTTTGCAAAGTTGCCCAGGATGGCTTCCGACTTATAACTCTTCTGCCTCAGCTTCCCAAGTAGCGGGGATTAGCGGTGTGGGCCATCACACCTGGCAGATGCCATTTCTTCTACGAGCCCTACTTGGCCTCCCTATTTAAAATTGTGTCTGTCCCTGTCTGCCTGTTACAGCAAGACGCTGAGCACAGTATCTGTTGTAACAGAATAAAAAGAAACATCAGAGAACATTTCTCAAGGGAATTTTAGTGCATAACTTATGTCTTGATATTTAAAAATTTACTTCTATAGCTGTACAATTTCAACCAAATTCCAGAGCTGTTCCTAACTGGACTTTTCAAGACATAAAAACACCTATGGTTCTTAAACAGAGTTGAATTATTCTTTTCTATTCCAATCTTCTGTATTGTTCCTCCCACATAGCTATGCCTTTTTAAAAATTATAACGTTAGATGTCTTTTATTTTGATCGGATACATTCCTCCAACATTATTGTTTTCATTCCCTATGAAATCAGCAAGATCAAAGAAATCAACCTAAAAATGTACATTAAAATCTTTCAGTGTCTCCATTTTGCTGAAGACTCAGGAACCTGGGGAGCCTCAGCATTTTGCCCAAAGCCACTCAGCTGCCTGAGTGGAAGCCAGTCCCGGAAGCCAGGCCGCCTCCAGGCTGGCCGGGAAGGTCTCCACTACCCCCACCTGCAAAATGCCCGCGGTTAGAGCACAGCTAGCCACGTTGTATTTGTTTATTAGCTGGCACTAGCTAATAAAGTTTGGGAAAACCAGGCTAAGCCACTGTTCCACTAGCTCTCTTACATATGTAATGAGATTTAATTTGAAAATATGCAGAACACGGCTGTAAAGTTTGACTACTTGCTCTGGAAGTTCACCCTCTGGCATTAGGCAGTTTATTACCAAGTACTGTATTAACTGCCTTCCTGCCCTATGTGGCTATTTCTAAGGATCTAATGAGGAAATGTTGCATTAAATGCATGGGTCTTATACTCTTGGGCGGGGCTGCGATTTTAAGCAGCTTCACCCCAGAAATGAATATGTGAGGTAATCCATAAGGTAATCTGTTCAGTGTAGCCATTCCACAAAGTATACGTGTTTGAAAAAAAATCACGTCATATTCCATAAATATAATTTTTTATTTGCCAGTGTAAAAAATAATTTTTAAAAAAGGGCTAAGTGTTCAGCACATGAGCAAACAATGCAGACCTTGTCAGGTGAAATTACTGTAACAAAATGGTGTCGCTATGGTAGTGAAGTTGGGGCCCCTCAGACACGGTGGGGCTGCGGACTCCTGAGATTTAACCAACCTCCCGACTCGTCTCCCGGGGGTTCCCGGTGCCAGACTGCTAAGGACACTTGGTCTTTTCACCCCTTCCGCTTCTCGTCCTCACAGTCACCAAAATGCAGGCAAGTGTTAGCCGTGTTGTTTAGTAACCCACAGACCTACTCCAAGGAAGACACACATGGATGGCAAACTCTGGCCAATACGGGTCAGCACAATTGGAAGTACGTGATTCATCCCCGCCTGTCTGTGCTAGGGGTTCATTTGTAATTTATTTATTTCATTGATAGAGATTTTGCAGTGGCTTATACAGCATTTGAAATCCTAGACTTCTACTCTCACGAGACTCTCAGAGTGAGAGTGTTTATGTCTCTCATCAGTTGAGTGAGTGCCCACTTTATCATCTTAAATGGCCCCCCCATCTTGCCCTATTTCCTGATCGCTAACCTTCACTAAGAGAATGGAAGCGCCTTTAATAATTGAAGGGATCAGGGACCTTGCAGGTAGTCTAATGTCACTCAAATAGAGATTTCATAGGCTGCTCTGTGTTTGCAGAAAAAACAACATAGTCTGAGAATTAAAAGTGCATAGCAAATTTAGGCTTACACCAAATTAAAAGAGGAAGTATAGCATATTTCTATTTTACAAATCACTACGCCAGAGCCCGCAGCGTTTGGAATGCAGACTGCCCTGTTGGCAGGGATTTGGAATCAATTTACAGTGTGCGATCGGATAACACACGCTCTGCACCAGGGGCAGGGGAATGTTTGGAGCTGTAATTCTGTCTGGCTCCCCATTAGCACGAAGCCTTGCTAGAGTCACAGCTGGAGAAGTGTCCAAAAAGAACTAGGTTCACTGCGAGTGTGTGTGAGAGACACAGCAGGCAGGGGAAGAGAAAGAGGAGGGTTTATGAAGGCAATACGAAACCTAGCTTCAGGGATAAGCTAGCTTCAAAAATAAACAGTATTTTTATCACACGGGTAAGCTGGTGTCTAGTAGAGATCACTATTTTTCTCAACTGGAAAGACTGCTGTATCTCCTTATGCTTCTGGGCTGACTATGACAGGGGGTGTGTAAGAATACCAGAGAGAGAACACCAGCCCAGATCCAGTGATGGCAAGAGGAGCATCGATGGAAATGTTTGTTTTAGTAAGGCGCGAAAGCCTGTATACAAGCGTCAGCCGGGCAGTTGAAACCTGATCTCCCTGAGGCAGGGGTAAAACTGACTTGGCTCTGGTGGGCCGAGCACTCAGGCAGCGTGTAAGTGCGTGTAGCACAGGCATGAGGCTAACTCAGTCTGCAGGCCCTGTGAAGCCAGGCGCTTGGATGAGGAAGAGCAAATGCTCTTTGAAAAGATGTTACTTGCACATTGAGATCAGCAGAAAGAATAACTTGTATCACGTAGTCCCACTTCTGCATTTCTGTCTTCTTAAGGTCTACAGCGTTCTATCCCTTGAACATGGCTGGCTGCTTTCACCTCAGTTATGTATCGACGGCCCTTCTCTGGAATGAATGGATGGATGGATGGTCACATGATTTAAAATATTTAGACTACACACACTGAGCTAACCATGGTTGATTTGGTGGGCTTTTTGTATTTTTGCTATTTTTACAATTTTTATTAGCACGTTTGCAGTACAGGGTTACATTGCTGTGTGTGAGCACCTTCATCCTTCTCCTTCCCTTGCTGTCCTCCGCCTCCCCTGGATCTGGTGCTATGACACTTACAGATCACCGACACTGCTGAAGGGTCAATCTGGTTAAATGGGCAAGATAAAAACCATAGCTTCCGGTGGAAAAGAATTATAATTTTACCATTACTTATTCAAATTTCGAACTATAAGAATTTTAAAAATCAGCTGAGTGTGGAGGAACATGCCTGTAGCCAGAGCTACTGTGGAGCCCAAGGCAGGAGGGTCATCTGGGTCCAGGAGATCCAGAGCAGCCTGGGCAGCATAGTGGACCTGGTTTCAAGAAGACAAGCCACAGGGCACGTGGTACATGCCTGTAAACCCAGCACCCTGGGAGGCTGAGGCAGGAGGATTACAAATCTGAGCCCCATCTGGGCAATTTAGTAATTTAATGAGAACTTGTCTCAAAATCAAATAAAAAGGGGTTCCATGTGTAGCTCACTGTGAAGGCCCTCAAGTCAATCCTCAGTATTGACCAAAAAAAAAAGCAAAAACAAAAACATAGTGTCCTGGCAGGAGGACTACATGTTCAAGGCCAGCTGGGGCAACTTAGTGACTTGGGGGAGACCCTGTCTGAAAAATTAGAAAAAGCTAGGGATGTCACTCAGTGCAAAGGCCCTGGGCTCAATCCTAGCACCACAAAAGCAAACAAACCCAAAAGTGAGAAAAGAATTTGCACAATCACGTGCTGGTTTACGCTCACGCTTGCAGAGTCCCCGACCACCTCTGCGGTGGTGCAGCGTGGGTCGCTGCTCTTCGGGACCAACCCTGAGGAGGCGCCTCTCGGTTGGCAAAGCGCCCCCACACACGCTCCCCATCTCACCCCTCCCGTCTCTTCCCTTTCTCTTCTAAGACCACATGGGCTTATTTCCCAGTGTGGTCAGGAGTATTTGATCTCAGTACCGGAGCAACACTTTTCCAGGGTCTTCATGACACCAGCTTCCTCTAACGAATCAGAGCACGGCCCCAGCCGTTTCCTGTTCAGGCCACTGACCTGTGTACCAGTTTCCGGCCTCGCAGAAGCTGGTGGGGCCCACTCCTTTGCAGGCGGAGAAGTCCAACCACTGGCCCCCTCCCCCGGGCAGGTCACCACCTCCGACCTCCTGTGCCCTTCCCTGACGACCCTCTCTAGCCTTCCGGTTGGTGTCCTTCTCAACCATGCAAAGTTTTCCCCCCTTGCAACTGAAAATCTAAAATCTCTGGATAGACAACAACTGCACCAATGAACTGCTTGTGACTATGGCCTCGAAGGTCTGGGTTTGGTTCGTGTTTGGAAGGACGCGCCCCACCCGGGAGTGGCACGCCGGCCTGGGAGCAGAGCTGTAGCCCCCTGCCCCCTTCCCCGTCCCCACCCGCTGCCGAGCCTGTCTCTCCTCCGCGCTCCCCGGAAGTCCCTCTGCTCCCGCCTTGCGTGTGCGCGCGACGTTCTCTCCGCTTGTCTCTGGGCAGCGTTTTAAAAGCCCTTCATGTGCACGTTTGTCCTTGAATCATGCAGTTCTGGCGGAGGCTGTCGGGTACTCGCTGCCATTTTCACGTTAGTGGCTGTATTTGCGTTGTTCCCACTGTGGAGAGATTACACGTAACACTGCCATCAGTATCTTGTACAATGTTTCATTTAAAGTTCCTCTCCCAAAATAAATTTCCGAGATTACTGGGTCAAAGGTAAGGCCATTTCTAGGGCTCCCGTTCCATATTTCAGCTGCCTTTGCGAGCGCCTGCCCTCTCCCCCTCTCCTTGTAGCGCTAAGAGTGGGACTCTTTAAACCCTCTCAACCCTGGGTTTTACAACGCTTGTACTCTTCTCTTGTGAATTTCACTGGGGTGGGGAGCTCAGCCACAGAGCTCCGTGATGCATGCTCACCCTGTGTGAGGCCTGCAGTGTGATGTCCAACACCAAAATTAAGTCAATAAACAAAATAAAACGCTATTGCAGTTGTTTCATTTGCACTTCCAAGCGAGGCTGACCTGTCCATAGAAAAACGTCAGAACTGAGATCTTGTTTGAAGCGCACGTCGTTTTTTCCATCAGGCTGGCTGCGGAGCAGGCACAGAAGTGACGCCCTGGGGAAGCAGCCCCCGGCTGCTGCTCAGCAGTTCTGTCTCGCTGCTGTAGTCTGCACATGTATTTCTTCACCTGCTCATGGCTGCCAAAGTTTGGGTTGTTTTTCTTTTCTCAAGTGCTGTGGATGGTGCCTGGGGCTTTGCGCAGCCGGGCAAGCACTGTACCGCTGAGTTCCTGCAGGCCGCAAGGTTTCCTAACTGACCTTCCTGCCCTGGGCTCTGACTCCCAGCTTCTCGCCAACCACTTCTGTGTAACTTGCTCACAGGCAGAGAGGCCCTAGGCACCTTTCCCCTGTAATGTGCATTTTGCACTCCGCTCTGGGAACGCAGCTGTCTCAGTGTAGTGCAGGCTGGCCTTGACCTCACTTACATAGCCCAGGCTGGCCTCAAACTCACGAGATCCTCCTGCCTCAGCCTCCCGAGTGCTGGGCTCACCGGCCTATGCCACCGTGCCCTGCTGGCCTCCATTGGGTCGTGCATGTTTGCTTCCTTCTCCGCACGTGTCTGCCACCCCTTGCCAGGGCACAAGGTCTGCGAGTCACCTGGAAATGCCTTTCTGTGGGAGTGGACCCCCTCTCTGCAGCATCCTTTTGGAGGGAGGTGTGGTGCGGAGAGTAGGTGTGTGAGTGATTCAGTGATCCACCTGTCAAAGAATCAAAGTACACACTGGTCCTACACACACACACACACACACACAGTTTGTGTGCGCACCCTGGCTTTAGTCTGCTGTAGCCAAACATTCTGGTTGCTACCACACAGCCAACGCCCAGACGGCCTGGCTTCAAATCCTGGCTGCACCACTTAGCTCTGACCACAGGCCCGTGGCAGACAAGTGCTAGCGCCTATTGCTGTTGTTCTGGCAAAGCGGGGGAGGTCATGGGAGCAGACCTTCCCCGAGAAGCTGCTTTTCCAGTTGATGGTCAGCGTTATGTGGCAGAGGGAGGATAAGTAGAGAAGCCCTCTCTTGGCTGAGGGCTGGAAATTCCACGGTGTGTGATTTCTGACTGGGTCCAGCTCTGCGGTCCAGCTCCGGCCTAGCACGCACGAGGCCCTGGCTTTGATGCCCAGCACTGCCGAAACAAGCAAGCAAACAAACAAAATGCACAAGACATGTCTACATGGAAGAACTGGAATGGAGGCATTTTCATAATACAGGAGCTTTAGTTTCACAATGGCCTGGCATTCAAGTTGACTTGGTAAAGGCATTCTTTTTTTTTTTTTTCCAGTAGAGAATTGAATCCAGGGCCTCTGTACTGAGCTACATCCACAGCCCTTTTAATTTTTTTTATTTTTTTGAGACAAGACTTTGCAAATTCGCTAAGCTGTACAGGCTAGGCTCAAACTTGGGGACCCTCTTGTCTCAGCCTCCCAAGCATTGGCATTACAGGTGTGCACCACCGCGGCCAGCTGGCGAAAGCATTTCACAGGCCATCACTTGAGCTCTCCCACCATGGTGCCCACCCCAACTCGCAAGGTCTCCTTTCTTCCAGGTCTCCATGTTTCTCAGTATAGGAAATGATAGCACCAGTACAATACATTAAGAAAAACGAACCCTTCCTACGTCTCAGAGGCTCTTCTGCAGGCTTATTACACTAACTCATTTTTCTACCACAGCGTATGAACAGACTTGTTATCCCCACTTTGCAGATGAGAAACTCAGCACAGAGAGGTTAAGTAATTTGCCCAAGGCTGCACAGATGGGACCCTAGATTCTATCAACTGTAAGCTTTGCCAAGCGGCCCCAGGCCGGCAGTCCAGGGATACTGAGGAATGAACAGGCCTCCCTTTATCACACCTTCATGAGATCTGGCTCCCTGATGCTGACCTGGCGGCTTTTTATTTGAACTTTAAGTGCCAAACTTAACACGCTTGTAACCTGAAAGCACGCAGATTCAACAAGCTGTGAAGTTGCTTTACCTGATGGATTTTGAAGTAAAAAATGATGAATTTTGAAAGTTCAAGTTTCCTGCTTTCAAGCTATCAAGCAGGACAGGAGATTATTCTAGGTTAGATACGGAAAGGACCTGAGAGATCACACCATTTCATGGCTTTATTTCAAAATTCTGTGAAGCTAATGTGCCTAATTTAAGGTTGTGAAGCATATTTTCTGAAACTGTACTTACACTGTTCATTGTAAGACTGTACTTGATTGCTGAGATGAGAAAGTCGGACAAATGCTGAAATACTACATAGAATCCTACCTAGTTATGGAATTTGGTATACAGTACTGGTTTGGGGAGCTCCTACAACAGCAAGGGCTCATATGACTTAATTCATGTAGTCACCTAGAGAGAAAATTCTCAGTTCCACTGAGTACTGTATAATGTTGTCCTGCAACTAGAAGCTGGTTATGCAGCACTGACATCCTTTAAAAAACTCATTAGGTTTTTGTGGGGTTGTGATGTCTTTTATTTGGTGTTTCCAATTTTTTTTTTTTTTTGTAGCAGTAGTGGTGCAGATGGAACCCAGGGCCTCACACATGCTAGGCAAGCACTCTACCACTGAGCTACACCCCGAGAACTATCTAACTGTATGCATTTCTGATCATTCCCCTACAACAGTGGTCAGCATTAACTTTCTATTCACACCAGGGTGTTAAAGAGTATTGCCCTGGTGCCCAAAAGTATGGATTCTGAGGCTGGATTGCCTGGGTTTCGATTCTAGCTATGCACTAAAAATATTTTTTTAGTACACATTTGTAGTATATAATGATTGCCTTCATCCTGGGGAGTCGGTATGTGGACATAACACATCTTGTTTTCAACTCCTCCCTTTCCCTCCCTGCAGATCTTGATCCCCCTCCCTTTTGCAGAAGATCTACCTCCCCGCTTCCTATTACCTGTCTTTTCTTTTGCTCTTTGTCCCTTGGGTTTCTCCTATGAGAGAAAACCGCGTGACACTTAAACTCGCGGGTCTGGCTGACTCTAGCTTTGCACTTAGGAGTTTAGGACTTTGGGCAGCTGCACCCTTCCTGCCTGAGTGCAGCCCCCGCCCATGCTGAAACATAGCCTCCTGGGTGACAGTGGGTGACAGTGTTCCTTGGCGTTCCGGCCTTTGAGTGGTGATTAGGCCACAGGGGTGGGGCCCTCAGGAATGCGATTAGTGTTCTTAGACACCCCAGAGAGCTTCCTTGCTATTCTACTGTGTGAAAAATACCATAAATAGGGATCACTGTGAAACAGGAAATGGGCCTGAAGCAGGATCCTCCATCTGCCTTGATTTTGGAATTCTCAACACCCAGAATTATAAGAAATAAATTTCCGCTGTTTGTCAGCCAGTATTTCGTTCTAGCAACATGAAGGGACTAAGACACTGTGTCCAAACTTTTCCATCCTAAAGCAGGGATAACGAAAGTACCTACACCCGCGGTGTTGCTGGAAGAATGAAATGACTTCACGCAAAGCTCGGCACATCGCAGACACTACACGAGGGTTTCTGCTAGAACCAGCTGAGTTCTAATACAGTCGTTTCGGGTTGTTACAAAGGACAGAGCTGAAAAAGTACACCTCATTTCTGCTTTGCAGACTAGGGCTAGGGCTTGTTTATAGCTTAGGTGAGACTTTCAAAAATAGTTTTTCCAAAATCATCTACCAAGATACTGACTCCACTTACACAACTGGAAATCTTGCCAATATTCTAAACTCTATGATGTCTTTTCCAAAAAGGAAGGAAAAGTAAAAAAAAAACCTGCTCCCTGGTCTGCATTCTGAATTCCCCAAGTGAGGATTTCAATAAGTATAAGCCATTGAGTAAGTCAGCGCAGTTGTACCTCAGAGGTTCGCATAGGCAGCTGTCCCAGTCATCTTAGTATGCACAAAAGTCCACAGAGGACAAGATCTGCACATCTAAAAGGACACGGACTCAAAAGAAAAATGAGATTTTGACACTGCCTGTAACTTGTGGAGGGTGAATGGCGGGGTATGTTTTTAGCAATATGTAGCAAAAGTAACTTACTCCCTCCCCTCAACTGGTGGTTGGACCCAGGCCTTTTCCCTCAGTTACATCCCCAGCTACTTAAAATTTTGTTTTAAAATTTTGAGACAGGGTCTCATGAAAGCGCTCAATTGCCTGGGTTGGGCTTTAATTCACAGTCTTCCTGCCTCAGCCTTCTAGCACACTGAAATTACAAGTATACATCATCTGATGTAGTTTAGGGTTTTACAAAGGGGAACAATTTAATATAGGACACATAGTTTATAGAATTATTTTATAATGGTCACCTGAAGAGTCATATACAAAAAGAGTGCAGGAAGTGCGTCCACACACTAAAGAACAAAGAATCCAGCTGAGGGCCTTGATCCCATGGTCACATCTTGCACGAGTCCAGCTGAAGACCTAGAGCCCATAACAACGCCCCCCATGAGTCCAACTGGAGGTCTAGAGCCCAGGACGATGCATCGTGCAGGCCTGTTTCACGGATCTGTGCTGGGAAGGCCCAAAGGTCAGCGGTGGAAGCTAGAAAGTCTGTGTCAGCTGGACGAAGGATCAGTGCTAGCAGGCTGA